TTGATTGCAGCTGAAAATGTGTAATTATGTTGTCTCTGTCAGAAGTGATGCTGCGGAGTTGTGTGTGTGTATGTGTGTGTGTGTGTGTGTGTGTGTGTGTGTGTGTGTGTGTGTGTGTGTGTGTCTGTGTGTGTGTGTGTTTAAGTATGTGTGTGTGTGTTTAAGTATGTGTGTGTGTGTGTGTGTGTCTCTGTGTGTGTATATTTAAGTATGTGTGTGTGTTTAAGTATGTGTGTGTGTGTGTGTGTGTGTGTGTGTGTGTGTGTGTGTGTGTGTGTGTTTAAGTATGTGTGTGTGTTTAAGTATGTGTGTGTGTGTGTGTATTTAAGTATGTGTGTGTGTTTAAGTATGTGTGTGTGTGTATTTAAGTATGTGTGTGTGTTTAAGTATGTGTGTGTGTGTGTGTGTGTGTGTGTGTGTGTGAGAGAGAGAGAGAGAGAGAGAGAGAGAGAGAGAGAGAGAGAGAGAGAGAGAATGTGTGTAAATGTGTGTTTGTTTATGCGTGTTTGCGCGCGCTCCTGTGTGCTGCACCACTCGGTCCTTTTTTTCCTACCGCTGATTTAGACAAAGTTTGACACACGTGCACGCGCACACTCACATAAGTAATTAATGGTTGAACCTCCACCTTGAGCTGATAGGAACCCGTCCAACTCCGCAGCTGCGCTCTTCTCTTTAGCAGCGCAACGTCCAGCCAGTGTGCGAAGCCTTGTTTAGGTTTTCTGGTGTGTGTGTGTGTGTGCGTGCGTGCGTGTGTGTGTGCGTGCGTGCGTGCGTGCGTGCACGCTTTCTTTAATCCTTTCGTTACATCTGCAAACATCTGTTTGAATTGTTTCTATGTCGCCGTTCCATTTTAACAACAAATCTGTATGATGTCGTATGAAATAAGGATCTGTGTAAAATAATAGAAATAAAGTAAAGTTGTGTAAAATAATAGAAATAAAGGAAATCTGTGTAAAATAATAGAAATAAAGGAAATTTGTGTAAAATAATAGAAATAAAGGAAATCTGTGTAAAATAATAGAAATAAAGTAAAGTTGTGTAAAATAATAGAAATAAAGGAAATCTGTTTAAAATAATAGAAATAAAGGAAATCTGTGTAAAATAATAGAAATAAAGGAAATCTGAGTAAAATAATAGAAATAAAGTAAATCTGTGTAAATTAAGAGAAATAAAGTCAATTTGTGTAAAATAATAGAAATAAAGTTAATTTCTGTAAAATAAGAGAAATAAAGTTAATTTAGATAAAATAAAATAAATAAAGTCACTTTGTGGTAAATAAGAGAAATAAAGTAAATTTCTGTAAAATAAGAGAAATAAAGTAAATCTGTGTAAAATAGAAACAAGTAAAATTCTGTAAAATAATAGAAATTATGTCAATTTGTGTAAAATAATATAAATAAAGTCACTTTGTGGTAAATAAGAGAAATAAAGTAAATTTCTGTAAAATAAGAGAAATAAAGTAAATTTCTGTAAAATAATAGAAATTATGTCAATTTGTGTAAATTAAGAGAAATAAAGTACATTTATGTAAAATAATAGAAATAAAGTCAATTTGTGTAAAATAATAGAAATAAAGTCAATTTGTGTAAAATAATAGAAATAAAGCATATTTCTGTAAAATAAGGGAAATAAAGTGAATCTGTGTAAATTAAGAGAAACCCCTGATTTAGACATCTTGAGTGAATCAGATAATCGATGGTCTTTACTGCATTGTGTAAAAGCATCAAAGCACGTGCCAGATGATTAAAGGACATTTGGTGATAAATAACCAATTTGCGTTTGCTGCTCTGTGACCATGTCTATGGAGGTGATTATCAGCTGACCGGAGGATTTAAGGTCGTGTCTAACAAGTCAAACACAATAAACTAACATAAAAGTCTCAGTCTTTAAAGAGCAAACACACAATCACATTCAGAGTTTTGATGAGAAAAGATAAAACCGTTTCCTGGCTTCATTTCCGTCATGTTCCCGTTTGCTTTGCCAGGGAACTACAAGAACCACAAGCTGACGCACAGCGGGGAGAAGCAGTACAAGTGCTCCATCTGCAACAAGGCCTTCCACCAGATCTACAACCTGACGTTTCACATGCACACGCACAACGACAAGAAGCCCTTCACCTGCGCCACGTGCGGGAAAGGCTTCTGTCGTAACTTTGACCTGAAGAAACACATCCGGAAGTTGCACGACGGCAGCTTTTCCTCAGCAGCATCAGAGACGTGCAGGGAGCCGCAGAGCTGAGCCGGTTCGGCTGGTTCTGGTGGGTTCGGCATCAGGTGCGGTGAGTCTTGGGATCCTGCTGCTCCAGCAGAGACCAGAACCAGAACTTTAAGGAGCAGGCCCAGCGGAAGTGTTGATAACCGGTTATTTAAGTTGCCATCATGTGTATTTTACAGAAAGTTCATGTGCATAAATAATTTAACATGTGAATAAAAGCGCATCTTTAGTCGTACTGACTCGTTTTTGACCCGTTCAGTCATAAAAGTTCTGATGGAGCTCTGCAGAAGATGTGCGCGCGCGTCTGCTTCAGCATTTATTGACAGACACGATCTTCATAAGGCAGTTTCATACTTGACTCCAACATAATGGCGCAATGATCTGAGATAACAGCGGCTCTTCAGAGCGAATTATATTAGTGTGTGTGTGTGTGTGTGCGGGGGGGGGGGGGGGGGGGGGGGGTAATGGAGCACTCAGGCCGCTGCTTCTCATCCGGGCCTCCTTCATAATGGAGACCGGGTTATTCTGCGCACGGCCTCTGGAACAATATTATCCCGCACAGCACCGCACGCATTCTGCGGAGAGGCGTGTCCGTGCTCCCACACGGCGCTCTTTCTATTAACAGCTAATTAGCGCTCGAACAGGCCTGCAAGGCTAATATTGGCAGATGAAGGTTCTGCTGCACACGGAACCGCGCCGTGCGCCGCGGACGGTGACCCACATCAGCTCTCGGTGTGACTCAGAGGGACAGGGAGGAACAGTCTACACCTGTTATTATTATTGTTGTTGATCATTTGTTTATTTAATTACTCATTTACATCTTTATTTATTCTCTGAATTACTTATTTATTCATTTTCTTATTTATGTGCATATGTACTAACTTATTTGTTTGGTTATTTAGGAGCATGGCTGTTTAACTTTCTGACATTCGGAACAACAAACAGCTTTTACTTTTCTTCAAACCCGAGCTGCAGCTGTGCGACGCGGCTGATCCTTGGTCACGCGCGACCAGCGCAGCGGTCCGTTAGGAACCGCTGCGCCGAACACCAGATGAAGCACTGAGCTGCGGGCCGCAGGTTCCTTCAGGTGAAGCAGGAAGAAGCCAAACGTGTGTTGCAGAACACGCGCAGACCAGCCGTGACCGCGCTCGTAGCCGCGCTCCTCCTCAGCATCTTCCAGCAGCAGCGGGAGCGCGCGCCCCTGCCCCGCAGACAGGGGTTCGCCAGGGGGATTTAGGCAATTTGCGGCCCACAAAGGAGCTGGTCTGAGGCAGGAAGGAAAGAAAAGCGCGAGGCGGGCTCATTGTCCGAAGCTCTGAATTGATTCTAAAACGAGAGATTAAGGCGAAGCTCCGGCGGCCGTAAGAGCCGATCAGGAGGGAGGAGAGAAAAGGACCAATTAAGTCTACCAAATGTTAACTTCCATAGGCCTCCCCTCGCTTTAGCCCGCATAAAATTCCAATTAAAGCGTCCCGCAGGGGGGTGGGGTGGGCTAAAATAAACAAGCAGCCATGCAGTGCAGAAGCTGTTTTCAGACGAAAACCCTCAAAACTGCTGATTCCTTTGTGAGAATTCCCCTCAAATGTTCCTCCGGCTGCTGGAGTCCCACCAGCCCAACCACCTCAAGGTGTGGGGAGGCCTCTCACGCAGCTCTGGCTGCAGGCTGCACTGATGTAGAAGCAAGGATCCTCCACAGGCTCTGCTGAAGCCCATGGAGGCTCTCCTGTTTTGTTTGTCTTCCCTGCTGAATTCATGTTCTCACTGCTCTGAAAAGGAGACATTATATTTCTGGTTAATAGTCCCCACCCGCCGGCCCTTTGCCACCGCGAGCCCCCATCCCAGAGGGGTTAATGAGCTCCGGCTTCCCTTTTACTCCTTTAAATGAGGCACAGTTGAAAGGACAGATGAAGGAAGCCATCAGGGATGCTAGAAACGCTGCGTTCAAGAACACTCGAGACATTTTTAAAACACAATTATCAAGTTTGACATTATGTTTGCAAAGCAAAACAACATCTGACCCCGGTTTGCTTTTAAAATATAACCAGGGCTGAAGCCAGACCACTTTGGAGGCAACCAAAGGGAAACGCTTTTCTGTTTGATACAGAAACTAAACTATCTCCAGACAAAATGGAATAATCACCACTTTAATTCACACCTCACTCAAATTCATCTACAGTCGCTCTTGAGCCGGTCCATACCTCACCAGAAGGTCTGAAGGAAAGCAGTCTGCCCTCTCGCCTCGGCGTGTCAAGGACGTGGTGCGCTGGGAGAAGGTGCTTTGTAGCCGGAAGGGGTAGCTTTAGGCTGCTGGGAACCTAGCGGGGAGGAGGCTCTCATCGCTCTGCTGTTATCAGACTCCACCACTCTGTTCTTCTAACTGCTTGTTCTGGGTTCAAGGAGCTGATGGAGGACTAGCCGTCTCTGGAGCCATGCACCTGTGGGTGTTTTTAAAACAGCCAGATGAGAATCCGGTCCCGTCAGTACTCCAGCTCAGACTGAGAGACCATCTAAAGGCTCAGGAACCCTCTGCAGGTGTTCAGGATTCAAGCTGATGGGACACTTGGTGAACCTTTGTGTAGGATGTTGACTGTGGGGCTGCTGTGAGCCAGAATCATCACAAATATATCAAATAAAGTCTTGTTTCCCAAATCTCACTTATTTTTCATCAGTTGGCGTGTTTGTTCGTTGCCAGCCAAAAACGTGCAAACAAAACTTTGAGTGTTCTTGAAACCATCAGCGAGTAACTGGTTTTGTTTTGAGTGTGTGAATTTTAGAATAAGAATGGTTGCAGAAGCATCCTTGGGGGGGGGGGGGGGGGGGGGGCTGTTTTATACAAGTGATTTAGCTGCATCAGCCAGAGAATGCTTTTTTAAGTTCCCAAAAGCCCGCATGCCTGCAGCCACATGCGGCTCATGGAACCAGAGAAGACCTGTTTGGGTTTCGGTGCAGCCGCAGTTCAGACTAGAAACTTTCTAAAGAAAGTTTAAAAGGGGCCTGCCGCCTATCGCAAGATGGTGGCCGTGTGTCTAAAGACGTGGAGTCCCTGGTGTCGTCCCTAAACGAAGGTGGCTGTGAGCAGCGTTGCTTTGTGGGGAAGGTTCCCGGCCATCCGGGGCCGGACAAGTCGGTACGGACGGGTCGCTGATGGAATTGACTTCTGTGGAGTTCAAGCTCGTAGGTCCACCTCAAACACTGAACCGCTGCACGAGATGCCTTCAGGGTGAATGCTGGCGGTCGGAGGAAGTTTGCATCTGATGGCGTTTTTGCAGGCTTGGCAAATAAGTTGTTAGGTCTTGAGAGGACGGCTCGACGCTTACCGACTCAGTTTGGCCCAACTGGACCGACGGCACAACTGAAGAATTGAGGAAGTGGTTCTTCACAAATTCTGGCAATCCAGAATATAGAAAGTGTAATAGTGGGCGTTAGATACCACCAGAGGTTATTTCACTGAATGTGAATGAAATAATATTAAACATTAATGTGGAGCGAATATGTTAACACTGATAATAATAGACAGTTACTAATGTGTGAATACACTGATAAATAAGTCATGATTAAGTTCAACAAGTAGACTCACTGGGTGTAATTTGAGGTCAGACAGAAAGCATTATAAGATTAAACATTTATGCTGATTCCTTCATTAATGTAAAGCAGTCAGCACAATTCAATTCACTTTAGATGAATCATTCCCAGTTTTATGTAATTGTTCTGAAGCTGTGACGCAAAGAATCCTTTTATGAGACAAATAAGCATATCTTTTATATCCTCATTATATTTTATCTTTCATCTACCCCGTCCTGCCTCCTGTAGACGCGCCTCCTCTTATGAGAAGGATGCTGGACAAGTTAGGATTCCTCATCGCCCCCTGCTGGTGACAGGTCAACACAACCTGTGTCCTGGCAGAAACTCAGCTTTTGCACATATGATAATATACATGGCTACGCTCCAGTTACATGCACATCAATGGCTGCTTTATACAGTTAAAAAGGTGTATTGGGATGTATCTATGTACCTTTTACTTTGTCTTGTTTTCTTGTTTTGTGTTGGAATATTTTCCCTTCCTGTCTGTCTCTGATCTTCCTGCATCTCCTCTAAATCTCGATCCTCCAGATAAACTGTTTCCAGGCTTCTCAGGCCCTGTCCACACGAAGCCGGGGATCTGCCAAAACGTAGATATTTTTCTACGTTTTGGCCTGTCATCCACACGAAAACGGAGTTTTTTCACACGAAAACGGATCTTTTTAAAAACTCCGGCCAAAGTGAAGATCTGCGTTTTCTCCGTTTTGGGTGTCTGCGTGTGGACGGACAAAACCGGAGTTTTAAGGTCCGCAACGTCACTTTCCGCGACAAAAAAATGCTGACATCACGTGTGCGACCTGTGTTTACACTAGCCGACAGCATGGATGCCCTCAGAGCTGCGCTCGCTTCATCAATTGTCCAAGCGCTTTTTGCTTGTTTGTTTTTGCAAGCGGAATTACTGCTCCTTGCGGAAGACCACAGACGAAGGACGAGGTTAAGAACGGGGGAAGTACTGCCACCTACAGGTCTGGCATGTCCTTAACAACGTATTTATCCGGGTACGTGTGGACAGTTTTTTTTTTAAAACAAGGTGGTGTGGATGCAAGTTTTTGGAGGGGCGGATATTCGTTTTTTTTAAAAACCCCGGCTACGTGTGGACTAGGCCTTACTTTTTCACCTCATCAGTTTCATGAACTAAGCAGATCAGAGAGATCTGCTGACTGCAATGCGGAGTGTGTTGCACGTCTGTGTCATGAGCTGAAATCACTGCAGGTAATGAGCTCCGCAGTAGCGGACCCTAACCCCAAACCTACTGCTCCACAGTAGTGGAGCACTTCAGGCACAAATAAAAGACACAACGTACCAGAAATATAAACAGTTATGAACGATCGTCATGTTAATTAAAATTGTTTTGTAGCACAACTTGAGAATGCGCCATGCGCCGGACGCAGCTGCCACGGTTCACCAGCATGTGTTACCATGGTGACTGGGAGGGGTTTCAGGCTAGCCACGTTGGTGTTGCTAAATCTGGGGATGTTAAACCGAGATTTTCAAAGAGAGCCTGGATTTTGGGATTAGCTTGCTACAGGAAATACCCTCCTGGTGATTCTGGTTGGAGGAAGTATTCCAGAAATGACAAAACCATTTGAGACAAACTACCACAAATCCTTCCTAAACACTTCTTAAAGGTTGAATATGGAACACGGACTCTCTGGTGAACTCTGGTGTTCAGAGGCAGTATCACAAGAACAGGTTCACTACTGACTC